TTTTCAAGTAATCATTGCATATTATTGCAATGTTGTACATACAGAAAAGATTGATTCCAAATGCAAGATGAGACAGTAGATTTTAATGAAAAAAAATACACTTGAACATTGCATTAAACTCAGAGACTCTTCCACTTGTCAAGTCTTGGTGTAATACTGAAGAGGAATACCTATAATTATCTTTGAAGTCTATTAAGATACCTGTAGTTTTCTGTAAGACTGGATTTTCTTTATACACCACTGAGAATAACAGAATGCAACACATTGATTGGGTACAAAAGGAGGTATAAGAGTACAATGGTTTTATGTTAGTACAGACTTTAAATATACAGAAAAATACGACACCGTGCCCCCTTACTTTCTAGTTTTCTTTGTTTGAGAAAACAGTTGTAGTTCAAAAAGTATGTTATTTGTGCTGAAAGATAATAGGTTTATTAATGTATTACAATGTTACAATACATTTATTGTTTTCTTTGTAATATGGTAAATAGCAACCGATTTCATATAAGTGTTCTGATATCTTTCCTCTTTCCCAGGTGCACTTTGTCTTGGGAAATAGCAAGTGCTTAGTAAATTATAACTGAAAGAATGAATAAACCTATGGTCGCTTTAGAGCCCTGAGAACGCATGTCAAATAGTCCTTTGGATTGCAGTTGGTTTCTGAATCGAATAGGTGATGAGTCCATTAGATCTAGTACAGTAATCATATTATGTTCTTTCTCCATATTTTGTTGTTGTATAATTTCTTCTTTAACTTATTTTTTAGAATCATATACTCCACAATTTTGAATTGATGAAAGTACTTTTCATAATGATTCATAGAAATTGCTAGTCTCATGTTTTTATAACTATTATTTTGAGTTCACCTCAGGAACACTCAATTCTTATATAACTTGATGGACGAGTTTCTAGAAGCCATCATACTCAAAAACTTCATCAGTAACCCTTGAAAATGAAGGGATCAAAACAAAACTAAACAATGACAGCTAACATATACCATAAATATTTAATGCATTCTATAGCTAATATACTGTGGTATATTACCTTAAAAAAAGACCTTAAGTTTACTTGTAAAACTGGTCCTCAAACGGTTGCAGATTGAGCGTTACCCTGAAGTGATGCAAGGATAGTTAAAAAACTCTAGGAACAGTAGAAACACTAGTCACTAGTGTGACTCTATCACTGGTAGATGCTTGAAGTTTGTGTGTTACTTGTTTTAAGTGGGTACAATTCCCTGTACTCACCATGTATCTTGTGAATGAAATCCCACTTAGAACCAAATGCAGAAATCGGATTGCATTCACAGTGTTGCCTAATATATTAATCACATTGGAACAATGTCTGACTTCAAAACAATTTCTGAGGTAGAACTGAATGTGCTTCATCCTCTTCCCTCCGTCTGAACTCACTGCTTGCATTGCCTCAACTGGTCTTTATGTATCATTGTTCTAATTATATATGTATATACCCTTTGCATATGACCTTTGATAGCATTTATCTATTGACTTCCAATTTATGACATCAATCCTTGCCTCTCTCTAGAATTCTAGATTCTTTCCACAATTGTGATCTTGACACATCTCTTTGATATTTTAATAGCTTATTAAGTCTGTATATAATATTTAGTACTAATCTCTAATCCTTACCAGAGATCTTTGACAAATTGATAGAGGAGCCTTTGTCACAGATGACTTTGCTTCATATAATGATGCTTGGTGAGAGCAGGCTGCTTCCTTTCTTGTGCTCTGTTCAGGTGCTTGGGAAGTACAGAGAGGCAGAGCTATGACCTGCTTACTGGACAATTCACCGTCTGTGAAGGAGAAGTAGCTTGAAGTATGAAGGTGCATGCACCCTTGAACAATGCTAATGTTGAATGGCTAGGGACTTGGAAGAATCAAGAAAAGTCTTGCAGGTCTCTGGGAACTTGCTCATATGAACTTATGGCAGTGGTGTCAGTATGTACAAGACCCATGCAAACTCAGACAAAAGCCGAGAATAGAACTGGAAAAATGAGCAGTAGGCCCCAACCTTAGCAGAGGAACTGGGTGGGGGAGAGTAGTTCTCCTTTAAGGGAGTGACTTTCGATTGGCTGACTAGCCCTCCGTGGATGAACTTGAACTGAGGGACATCTGAGTATACAAATTTGACTCAATAGGCTTTAGCATATATGACAGAATGCATGGAATCTGGTGTGTTTGTGGAGGTGTAGATGGGGAAGAGGATATAAAGATGATTAAGATATTTTGTATGAAATGCACAACAATTTAATAAAAAAATACCCACTGGAAAAAAGAAACCTAGAGATGAGGATTTCTGAGGTAGAGTTATGCAAATAAACACCGAGTCAGCCATAAGTTTGAGGAGGGCTTTCCTAAGAGGCTCTCAAAATCAGGAAGCTAAGAGGACACTTCTTTGCAAATTACCCTGACCCTCCTCTGTTTCCTCAGTTCCATTATTAGCAGTGTGGTAGAGGTTACACATGGATGTGACAGCATGATGTCTGACTTTCTAAGACTGATCTATCAACTATTGCTACTGTATGTCTAAGCAGCAAGTAGCAGTGTATTAGTTACTTTCCTGTTGCTGTGATGGAAACACTGACCAAAGCAACTTATACAAGGAAGAGTTTATTTGAGAGGAATTATGATCCGTCATGGCGGGGAGGCATGGTGGCTGGAGGTGGCTGGAGAATCGGAAGCTAGGCTCTCACATCTTCAAGCAAGCGCAGGAAGCAAGAGAACAACTCAAGATCTGGCAAGGCTTAAGAACTCTTTAAGCCTGCCCCCAGTGACCTGTTTCCTCCAGCATGACCACACCTTCTAAGACCTCCCAAAACAGCACCACCAACTTTGGACAAAATGTCCAAATACTTGGAGCCTATGGGTAACATTCTCATTCAAACCATCACAAGCAGGGACCAGAGTTGAACTCTTTCTGGTGAATCATTCAGTGGTAGATTGATCTTAACTAGATTTCATTCCAGACGAACTGCACTCCATTCTTACAGGAATTAGTATTTCCTGTAGCTAATGGACTCACCTTCCTGGTACCTGTGCCAGTACTGGAATCTGAAGGCTTAATGCTCTAACCACTTGGGACCCTGTGTCATACGGTCACATATCATGTGAAGACCTGATAATGGGCACACAGTCATAGGATTCATTTGCCTTTCTATGTACTGTCTCAAGATTGGGGATGTTGTTGCCAGGATACAGTACGTGTGTTCAATGCTGTCATCAGCCTGTGTTCTTAATAACTGGAACTGGGCTCAGGAAGCAAGATTGGAAGCGAGGCAGACTCTAGTTCCACAAGTCTTGTTGACTCACTCTCTGAATCTGTTTCCTGCCTCCATCCTTTAAACTCTACCATCTTAGAAGTTCTGATCTGACTGGGTTTGGGGGAATAACATGATCTTGGAAGATCTACTTCGGGATCCACTGAGCTCTTATCTGCTTGCTTCATCCCATCCTGGCAGGTGGCCAGCAGCAGAAGTGACAGTGTTGACCCTTGCTTCATCCTGTTTTCCTCAGTGGCACATGGGTTCCTGCTGCTCATTGAAAGTCAGAATTGGATGGAGAATCCCCTGGGGAGTCCATTTGAGTTGAGGGTTATTTCCACTATTGCCCGCCAGCAGACAAGTTCCAAATCTGCTTTTCTGCAGCCCTCATGTCAGCATCAAATGACTCTATTTAATGCCATTTGGAGATGTTTATCTCCATTCTGTTTCTGCTCCCCCCTCTCACCCCAAATTATATGTTTCCAAATATGAAATCAAGTTAAATTGAGACCTTAAGAATTTGAGAGGCTGAAATTCTATTTTAAAAGACACCGAAGTTCTTGTTCCATGTTTTTTTTTTTTTTTTTTTTTTTTTTGGTCTTTTTGAGATAGGGTCTCCCTGTAGCCCTGCCTACCCTGGAATTCATTATATAGAGCAGGCTGGCCTTGAACTGTCCCAAGTGCTGGGATTAAAGGCGTGTGCCACCATGCCTGGCTCCATATAGGTTTTTTTTTTTTTTTTTTTTTTTTTGAATGTATGTGTGGGCACTACTCTCTTGCCTGGTGCCTGTGGAGGCCAAAAGAGAGTGTCAGATCCTGGAACTGGAGTTACAGACTGTTGTGAGCCTCCATGTGAGTGCTGGAAACTAAACCTGGGTCCTTTGCAAGAGCAGCAAATGTTCCTAATTGCTAAGCCAACTCTCTAGCCCCTCCATATAGTTTTTAATTATTATCTTAAGTTGTTTAAATCAAATATCACCTTTGGTAAAAATGTACAAGTATGTTTATTCCATTTATGTGTATATAGCAAAAATTTTTAAGATACTAAGCACAAAATAACATGCCTTCTTTGCTCTATTGTCTCTATATGAGGCATCTCCTTCTCATTTACTCATTCATTCATTCATTTTGAGGAGACAGGACCTTAACTATGTAGCCCAGGCTAATCGCCAACCCTCTGCAATCCTGTCATAGTTCCCAAGTGCTGGGATTAGGAGCCACCATCTCTAGCTAGACATTTCTAAAGTCTTTCTGCTTTGTTCTTTCAAATGATTCCACCCATACACCATATTGTTTCTTATGTCTATTCCTAGAAAGTTCTTTGTGATGAAATCGTCTGCCTCTGCATTTACCCCACCCTCCTTTGGTCTGTCTGCACTTAACCTTTTGTTACATTGTGAGACTGTCTTCTTTAGACTTTTTTAAAAAATAGTGTAAGGGTTGTGCATTGCTTTGAAAAAAAATCTTTTGCGACCATTGTATCTGGCAGTGTGGCTGGCACAGAGGAGGTGTAAAACTACGATAAAGAGATTACGATTCATTTTGCTTTGTTCCTATCAAGAAAGGGATCACAGATACATTTTACAAATGTAGAGGTCCCAAGCTCTCTTAGAGATGTGGGAGGTCATAGAACTAAGCTCACAAATAGTAGATGGATTCAGGGACTAATTTTATCACTTGTGTCAGTGGCCATGTACTTAAAGTAATTTATGCTCAATTGCAGATTGCAGAGGAAGAGTCCACCATTTCCTGTGTGGTGGAGCGAACCAGGGGAGCTCTGGATTATGCTCATGTGTTTTACACCATCTCACAGATCGAATCTGAAGGCATTAATTACCTCGTTGATGATTTTGCTAATGCCAGTGGGACTATCACCTTCCTTCCTTGGCAGAGATCTGAGGTAAACTCCGACACCTTGGTTTCTTTCAAAGCTTCCTGGAAAGCATCACTTTGTATGCTTATTAATTTATTTGCAGCTTCTTGCTACTTAGGCATTTTAAACCAGTTAGGAAATTAGATGTATACATTAGAATTAAGTTAGTATTTCTGCAAGAGAAAATTTAAGAATTTTGAATATGTTTGCTTTATAAGTATTCCAGTGAAAATGCAATAAAAGCAGTATAGCTCAAGGATATATCATTATAGATTTTTAGTTACATATTTTATTTATTTTGATACTCGGTGTGGCAGTGCTTGGCCTTGGACTTGCCATCCTCCTGCCTCAGTCCCCTGAGTGCTGGTATTACAGATGTATACTACCATCCCTACTGTGTTTTCACTGCTGTAAAATACATGCCTTAATTGGGGAGTGTTTAAACAACAGAAATTTATTGCTCATAGTTCTAAAACATGTAAAGTAGAAGAGCAAGGTGCCTGGGGCTTCTGTATCTACTGAGGGTGTCTCTTTGCTTCATACCCACAAAACCTATTCATTGTGTGCTCCCCTGGAGAAAGGGGCAGATGAGCTCCCCAAGGCCTCTTTCCAAGGACTTCGATCCCACCTTTAAGACCTAATTTTCTCTAAAGGCTTCACCTCCTAATGCCATCATCTTGGGAGCAATATGTTAACGTGAATTTTGGAGGGTAGCACTTCAGATCATTACAATACCATTATTAAGGAATTAATTTCCTCAGACCACTTCTTAAAATTTATTTATTTATTTATTTTTATTTTTATGTGTGGGAGTGTTTTGTCTCCATGTATGTAAGTGCACCACATGTATGCAGTGTCTGCAGGGGTCAGGAGAGGCCATTGGATCCCCTAAAACTGGAAGAGTTACAGATGGTCACTAGCTGCCATGTGGGTGCTGGGACCTGAACCTGGGCCCTCTGCATGTGCAACCAGTGCTCTTAACTTCTTAGCCATCTCTCCATCTCCCTCCTCAGATCTCTTTTTATTTATATGTATGCCTGCACACATATACATGTTTTAATTTGTAAGTTTATATAGAAATGTCATGTTTAATAGTAACTTCAATTAAATATAATTTAATTGGCTATTTTTCCTGAATCATAATTACTGCATGTCTCTTTGCTTAATGCCCTTATGCTTTTAAAATGAACAGGTTCTGAATATACATGTTCTTGATGATGATATTCCTGAGCTTAACGAGTATTTCCGGGTGACATTGGTTTCTGCAATTCCTGGAGATGGAAAACTAGGTTCAACTCCTACCAGTGGTGCTAGCATAGATCCCGAGAAGGAGACAACAGACATCACTATCAAAGCTAGTGACCATCCCTACGGTAACCTACATTCTGTCGCAAGAGTAACTCTCTTCTCTCAGTGCACTTGGCTTTCTTTATTAAGACTTCTTGCAAATGGCAAATGAATCTGAAATAGAATTCCTTCAGGAGCTCTAAGCTCTAACACCTACACTGCTGTTTTAGAGGATATTGTTTATGAAAGAAAATGTAAAGATCAAATTCTGAATGTAAATAATATGCTCAGAAAGTTTTTGCAAGGTAAAAAGTACTTTAATAATGCCAAAATTCCTATAATTATAAGATTTACCCTATGGTGGTGTGTTAATAATAAATAACAACAATAATAATCTAAATAAACAAAGAACTTTGTAATTTATATTTTATTAGCTTTCAAGAAGTGGAGTTCTTATTATGTATGTATAGTAGTTTGTGTTTTGTACTGACAAATGATCATTTTAATTGGGAACTATCATAGATGTCTGTCCCACTAAGTTGAAAATTCTTTTCTATTAAAAAAATAATGCTTTTTGTGTGTGAATGAAGGCAGGCCATCTTTAAGATGATTGGATAGGGAACCTGGGAGACCTTAAATTCTGTTTTTAGAGTTAATTTGCAAAGTGTTGCAAGTCTTTTAGAGCATCTTCAATACTACTCTGCATCAGTTTGAGAATTCCAGATCCTCATTCTATGTGAGTAAATTTTTAGAAATGTGCATTTAAAAATTCCCTCAGTGTTCCTCTTACTGATTATTCTGTGGGGTCAAAAGGCTTTCTTTAAGTAAAGACTAGGAAAAGTAACACTTTAATTTTTGACATCATAAAGGCTTATACACTCATTGTACATCAAAAGCATGTTAATCAAATCTTTGCCCAGACCTTTTCTGCATAAAAGCCCTCAGAATTTTATTTGTTATAGAAATAATTGTACAAGATTGCCTCAAAGAGTAAGGAATTCTTTCACAGATGACTGGGGAGGACACGCTGTCTTTTTAAAATATCTTCCAGGCTTGCTACAGTTCTCCACAGGGCTGCCTCCTCAGCCAGAGGACTCAATGAGTCTGCCAGCCAGCAGCGTGCCTCATATCACAGTGCAGGAAGAAGATGGAGAAATCTGTTTACTGGTCATTCGTGCACAAGGACTCCTGGGTAGGGTGACTGCACAGTTTAGAACAGTGTCTTTGACAGCATTCAGTCCAGAAGACTACCAGGTATATCACCAAGCCTTTTGAAGCTACGTTTGCACCTTTAAAGTGGGCCTTTTAAATGTATGGAAATTAGAATGGTTTATTGCAGTGAAACATGACAGCTAACTACCATACTATTTTAGTCTGGTACTGTATACTTTATCCTAGACTTCTCTTGCATAGTTTGTTCTAATGGTATAGGTTTTGATTGAGTACGTGGGAAGTTATGTTTCTTGACTATTTCAGTCTGAGTAGGTCCCTCAGACAAGATCAGAATTCCAAAGAAATTATGTGTCTATTTCTTTTCAATTTTATTTATATATTTTTCTTTAAATGAGAAGCAGTGTGGTACTTCAGTGTGTCATAAGAGAACTAGTGATGTAGAAGTGGGCAGAACCAGTGGCTTTCTTCATCTTTACAAATTTCAGTTTCCTTATCTATAAAAGTGAGATGTGCCTGCTGAGCAGGCTCACTCTGGAGATGGATGACAACATTATTAGTGCTCTGCACTGTACAGGACACATACATAGTAACACTCAATAACCACTACCTATTCAGACTCCTGACAATTGTCTTACTAAGTAAACGCTTAGAATTTCTTCTTGGGAATCCTTCTCAGGAAGAATTTTATATACTTAAATATTACTTGTTTCCCAAATAATTATTTTTATATATATATGTTTTGCCTGTGGCATTGATTGTATCTTTAGTGGGGTTGGTGCATAACGTACTCCATAAGGCATTTCTTCTTGGTTTAATCTGTTCTCTGCATTTTCTTAAAACAATACTGTGTACCGGGCATGGTAGGACACACTTTTGTTCTCAGCACTCTGGAGGCAGAAGCAGGTGGATCTCTGGTAGTTCAAGGCCAGGATATATGTTTTGCCTGTGGCATTGATTGTATCTTTAGTGGGGTTGGTGCATAACGTACTCCATAAGGCATTTCTTCTTGGTTTAATCTGTTCTCTGCATTTTCTTAAAACAATACTGTGTACCGGGCATGGTAGGACACACTTTTGTTCTCAGCACTCTGGAGGCAGAAGCAGGTGGATCTCTGGTAGTTCAAGGCCAGGCTGGTCTACATAGTGAGCTCCAGCCAGGTGAGGCTACAGAGAGACCTTGTCTCAAAAAGACAAACAAAACAAAACAATACTTATGTGTTCACAATGATGAACTTTCATTTTTAAGTAGTTGAAGTAGTCACAACCTCCAATTGCATTATCATTTTCTTTAATAAATGAAACAAAACAAAAAAAACCCCATGCCTTTGTTCTTGGCAACCATGAGAAAGCGCATATTCTTGGGGACGTTTCTGAGTATATTCAGAGTGCCAGGAAGTCCTGCTTGTTACCTGTCACTACTTTCAACTATTGAATTTGCATGCTTAGCTCTGATAACCTGGTAACTTTGCCTTCACTAACTTCTTATGCTGCTTCAACTGTCTCTGGTCTGTGATAACAGAAAAGATTGTTTTAGGCCATATAGGTAAAGGGGAGGGAGGGAATATGCCAGGAGGGATCATGCATGGGAGAAGAAACAAGAAATAATTGTTTTTAACTTTATTCTAATATTCCAAGTGACAAATGACACCTGCCTTCCAGGTGCTCATGTGCAGCTCTTTGGAGCACTTTTTTCCCATTCTTTTATTGTTTGAGAATTTCATACATGAATATAATGTATTTGCTTAAATACCTCCGACTCCTTTCTAACTCCTACCATATATCCCCCATTTTCTTTCCCAACTTCATGAACTCTTTTTAAAACCCATTGAATTGTCTTTTTAAAAATTATTTTATTTTATGTGTATGTATGTTATGCCTGCATATATGTAAGCACACCTGTGTCGCAGTGCCTGCAGAGGACAGAAGAGGATGTCAGATCCCTGGAACTGGAGTTACAGATAGTTGTAACAACAGATCTGCTGTAACAGATAGTTGTTACTCACCATGTGGGTGCTGGGATTCGAACTGGGGTCTTCTGTAAGAACAGACAGTGCTCTTAACCACGGAGCCATCTTTTCAGCCCTCCATTGAATCTTCTTAGTCCTGCCAGTATGTGCATGGGTGTAGGACCAACACTGGAGCGTGGGCAGCCAAAGAAAACTGATTCTCCTTCAGCAGCTATCAATAACCAATAGGAGTGATATCAGACAACTAGTTAACTATTGCATTATATCTGTGGGAAGTGTGGGTTAGTGATATGTGAGAGGTGGGTGTGACATAGGCCGGGCAGTAAAGAGCTTTTAGCCGAACCCGAACAAGGTAGATGAGTGGAAAGGGAGCTCGTAAAGTGGAGTGGGTAGAGATAACAGAGACATCAATGTAGGGGAGGGCCCAGGCTATCAAAGGAACTGCAAGAAACTAGTGCTTCTGTGATGTGGAAGGTTAGGTGTGGCAACAGAAGATAAGGAATGCACAGACTGGATCACTCAAATCCTTAGAGGTCATACTGCAATTTAAGCTTTTTATTTTTTAATAAGGAGAAGTAATGCAAAGGTATTATTAATATGTAAAAGATCACTGGGCTGAACTGTGATTAGAAAATACATATCTTGGATTCAGAAAGGTAACTAAGAGGTCTGTTTTGTGGAGCAAAGCAAGAGATATCTTCAACTAGACTAGTGACACTGCTGATGAAAAGAAGTGGGTGGGCTCAAGAAATATTTCAGAGGTCAAACGGCAGGATTGGAGGGCCAGTAAAGAAGATAAAGCAAAAAGGGCGTCAAGAATGCTTTCCTTGTTCTTGGCCTGAGATACTGACTGTTCTAGAATTTAATACTGTGGAGAGGGTTGGGCAAAGCATACCTTTAAAGGAAAGATACTAAATTTGAGACTGACAGAAATTGCAAGAAAAGTTGAATGATTAAATGGAGATATCAGAGGTTACAGATATGACTCTGGGAGCTGTGATCAAATAAATAGTATTAAACACCGGGGCTGTGATTAAGTTTGTCTAGAAAGTCTAGAGAGTCTGATGAACAAATATTTTGAAAGGCTGTCAGGAAAATGTTAAAATTGGCAATGAATATGGAAAGGGATGAAATTGGAAAGTGGAAAGAGAATGTGATATCATGTAACACCACTGAAGGGTGTGTTAAATTGAGTATAAAAATTAAGAGTGTAAAAATTAAGAGTGTAAAAATTAAACTGAGTATAAAAATTAAGAGTGTAAAAATTAAAAAAAAGAGTTTCCTAAGACAGTCAAATGCCAATTCTGTTGTTAAAGCTTGTATAATTTCTCTACTCACTGCCAAATTCTAGGAGATGTTAGCTACATCTTCATTCTTGTGTCATTTATTATTCTATTTCAGGTATTTTAACACTCTAGAATGTTTTCTACAGTGAATGACTGGTCTTGTTGTTTTTGAACATCAAGCTTGTAAAATGATGCCAGGCACATGCTCCATGTTTAGTAAATACTGATAAGTAAGTGAGTGATGGAATGACTTGGCATTTAGGTTCCTCATTTGGCTTTAATATTATTGATTGCTACATAAGACAAAATACAGTTGCTCACAAACTAACATGAGAAAAATTTAAATGAATTTAAAATTTATGGACATAACTTGAGAAGAAAATTGTTATATGAAATAAAAAACAAAAGAGAATTCCTTGTCTTGAACTGAAGTATTTCTTAAGGAATTTGTGGGTGTTATTCATTAAAATTTCTTATTTTGGGGGTGGCAGAGATGGCTCAGTGGTTCAGAGCACTTCTAGAGGACCTGAGTTTGGTTCCCAGTACTTACGTCAGGTGGCTAACAACCATCTGTAACTCCAGCTCCAGGGAATCTGATGCCATCTTCTGGCCTCCTTGGCACATGCATGCACGTGGAATATCCTTTATAGGCACAGACATACACATTAAAAAACCCTGATTTCTTTTTAAAAAAGTATATTTATCATTTTAATTTAATGTTATGTGTATGAGTGTATTACCTGCATGTATATGTGTGTCTGTGTTGTACAATGCCTGTGTAGATCAGAAGATGACATCAGATTCCCTGGAACTGGAGTTATGGTCCACTGTTAGCCTCCATATGAGTGCTGGGAGTCAAACCTGGTTCCTCTGCAAGAGAAGTCAGTGCTCTTAACTGCTGAGCCATCTCTCCAGTACCCCCAAAGCCTGATTTCTTATTTCCTTTCATTATTTTCTAGTGAATAAAAAATGAGAAAAATTGAAACCCACTTGCTTTATTCAGTTGAAAATAAGTGTTTGTTAGGGCCAGGGATGTAGCCTTGGGTTCAATATTTAGAATTACAATAATACTAAAAAGAATATGCATTTAGAATTTACAGTGGACAATTTCATATTTATTAATATGTTTTAAATTTTTTCTGTTTCAGAATCTATGACAGTTTAGTGTGTAACAAACATACCTTTCAGTTTTGTGTACAGAATAGTTGTAATATGATAGCTATGTCTTTTACTTGTGTTTCAGAGTGTTGCTGGCACATTGGAATTTCAACCAGGTGAAAGATATAAATATATTTTTATCAACATCACTGATAATTCCATCCCTGAACTGGAAAAATCTTTTAAAGTTGAGTTGTTAAACGTGGATGGAGGAGGTAAGACTGATACACAAATGTCAAATATTTGCTTGCTCACCAGCCATGATCCCAGTAGATAATGCTAATTCAAGGATTCCTTTTGACTTACTCATACAAAATTGCACTAAGTAATGAAATATTGTAGCCATTCATATTGAGTAACCCTAAAGCCACCAGATTATTTTCCTTCTTTTTGAATCTTCATAATAGTTCTCTCAAAGCCATCTCCAGATAGCACATGGGCCTCTTACAGTATAATTCATGAGCGATGATTATCAATAAACGGGGTCTACAGTACCTTATGTTTAATTCTGATATTCAGAAAACTGATTGCCAAAGGTCTTTGCAGTTAAAATTCAATGCATGATAAAAACCTGTTAAAGTGAATAAAAGAAATATTAATAATATTTATCTCACTTAGATGAGCTATTTTTATGTGTTTTCTTGCAGAATTATTAAGGTGTTTATCAGGTGCTACTGGGGCTGTGATAGAATACATAGAGTATGCACTCTATTACCCTTATTAAGTGTAAGAAATTTAGAGTTATCATGGACATTACAAAGTCTGGTATTATCTCATCATCATCCACATCATTTTGATGAAGAGAACCATAGTATAGAAAGCATCTGAAGTGAGAAGCTGGGTAGGACACACTAGAATTGTCTTTTTCTATTAAGACACTGGGGTAAATTCCCTTTCCTTGTGTTTCCCAAACCAAGGTTAGGGCATAGAGGAATGGTCCAATGCTTGGGAACGGAAGAATGATTAAAAAAACTGTACTGTATCTTGATTAATGTATAAAACAGGAAAAAAATATGCTGGAAGGTTGCATGTAAAAATACCAGTTTATAGCCAGGTGCGGTGGTGCACTCATTAATTCCAGCACTCAGGAGGCAGAAGCAAGTGATTCTCTGTGAGTTCCAGACCAGCCTGGTCTACATGAAACAAATAAGCACACAGAAAATAAAACAAACAACAGCAGCAACTATACCAGCTTTTCTTCTAGAGACAGACCTCAGATCTCTGAATCATCATTTCCAGTTTTCTTTTAGAGACACATCTCACATCTCCAAATTACTGTTTCAAGTTAGGACTTTTAGTGGTAACAAATGGGTAGCAGAGTTGAGAATGGTAAATATTGTGGCTGGGAGGATGTAGAGACATTCCTCTAGTTTTAACTTGATTGCATGAGTGGAAAGGTGATGCTCATAGGCATAAAAGCCAAAGCATATGATTATATACATAAATATTACCAAAAGTTTCAAATGGTAGAAATATATATTGCTGTAGAAGGTGAAAATTTGCAAAAAATTATTTAAGTTACTGGGCACAGAACTATTCATTGCTATTTATGTGGAGTGTCTACTAAAACTGGAGAATTTTGGTAGTTTTGTACTTTGATGTTACTATCATTTAAAACGATGCGTAGTCATGGAAGAATGTCATTGCGTGACTATCGCTGCATATTCCTTCTGATATGTTTTAAGTGCTCTTAATTTTCTCGTTGTGTTGCTGTGTGTTGTGTGGGCTGTCTCTGTGTGTCTCCTTGTGAAGCGTCGGAACTCTTTAGGGTTGAAGGCAGTGGTAGTGGAGATGGGGATGTGGAATTCTTCCTCCCACCTGTCCGCAGACATGGTAAGCAGCTGTTCCAAGGTCTCTTACTAGTATGTTCTTATTTTGGCTTCTCATTTCAGAAATAATAATATTAATCTTCTGTGAATAGATAGATCCTTTGTGTATTTTAGTTCATTAACCAGCACAGCAGCCTTCTGAAGTGTTTTCTCTGTGTGGAGTCAGAATTGCTTTCTTTCCTGTTTCTAATGGCCAGGCTCTCCTCTCCACATGCACTCAACACAGTTTACTGATTTTGATCGGATAGGAGTTTGCTTGAATGCTATTTATGAAAAGAAATGATTGTTGAAAACATTTTACATGACTTTGAATACTTATAAAATGATTAATGGAGCATTTGTATTTTCACATTAAGTACACCCCACTTACTTCCTGTATAATAAAGAACATGAGTCTTTATATATATCGTTTATCAAAAGAAAATGATGAAAATAAATCAGAAAGGAAATGAATGGGGAGAACAAGTTGTCAGTGGGTGAAACATTGAAAAGACATGTCTTTAATAATTTTTATTTTTAATATGTATGAATGTATTGCCTGCATATGTTTAAGTGCATCCATGTTGTGCAATGCCTGCGGAAGTCAGAAGGTGTCAGATCTCCTGGAACTGGAGTTACAGACAGTTGTTAGCCTCCATGTGGGTGCTGGGAATGGAACCTGGGACCTCTGCAAGAGCAATCAGTGATCTTAACCATTGAGACAGCTCTCCAGCCTTGAAGTGTCTTTTGAAATAGATTCATATAAACAAGATGCACCTTTTTACCCCAGATTTTTTTCGTATGTGAAGAGACTATTTAGAATACTTGTTTCTTGAAAGAGCACATTGGATCCTCAAATGTTCCATTTCCTAATGTCAGGTTTTGCTTGTTAGTATCAGAGTGCATGGTGCCCTCCCTCAGCCCTCACCTGCATCAATGCAATTTCTGTCTGTAGCTCATACCTTAGGATTATAGGCTTTCTTGTCTGTAGGCATTCATATAACAAAAACTAAACATACTAATTTAGGAGCACATAACATGTGTCTTTAGGTTTTAGCATCTTTTCAGTTATGGGTTTGGATTATTTGGGATTACAGGAAATAAATTTGTAATAGTATGATGGGAAAAGAAGGCTTAGGGTTACCACACATTGGAAAACAAGAACCTGTTCAGTTGCACTCACTAAAATCCTGGGGAAATCTCTTTCTCACTGAAGTAAGAGTTGTTTTGGCTCATGTTCTTTGGCTCAGCAAAGTTGTGGGAGACCTTCCTCATATAGCTTGTGTGGAAGAATGTTCTATTTCAGAAAGAAAGTGAAATAAAAACAAGTTTTCTGGGCTGGAGAGATGGCTAAGTGGTTAAGAGCACTGACTGCTCTTGCAGAGGACCCGAGTTTGATTCCCAGCACCCACGTGGTGGCTAGGAACTGTCCTTAACTCCAGTTCCTGGGGAATCCCAAGCCCTCTTCTGACCTCTGCAGCATTGCATGACATGGGTGCACTCACATACATGCAGGCATACACTCATATACATAAAATAAAAATAATAAATAAAATATTTTAAAAAACCCAACAAGTTTTCTTTATCTCCAAGTGCTTTGACAGCACCTGTATATAACATTGTTGTCAAAGCAGGGAAGGGTCATAAAAGCACCAGCACATGTGGCAACCATTTGTGTCCACCTTTCTTTCTAAAACAAACTAGAGTATACTCAATGGAATGAAGACGTTTTCAAGTAGTTCTTCGTTGGCTTTTTCCATGATTTATAAATGACTAACATTTTTTTCTCTTTGTTGCAACTTGCTCATGCAGCCAGTCTAGGAGTGGCCTCCCAGATTCTAGTGACAATCTCTGCCTCGGACCATGCACACGGGGTGTTTGAATTCAGCCAAGAGTCACTCTTTGTCAATGGAACTGAACCAGAGGATGGGTACAGCACTGTTATATTACATGTGAGTACCTTTCCCTTCCATTTCTGGGACACTTTCAGTTTAAAAAATGATTGTATTCTATTATGAAGTATGTTTTTTTGCTTTCTTTTGTTCTCTATAGGTAGAAAGGAATGAGGCTCTATACATCAAGAGTGCAAATTGCTAATCAGTGATTTAGCATTACTGTTGTGTTTGACTTTGTTTTTTGATTCATTTTTTATTTCAAGGATCTCTCTGGACCCTTTAGAGAATATGGTGGAACTTTACTATAATTCTCTTGTATAGATTTAGGCATTAATTAAGATAGACATGGGACATACATGGTGGAAAGAGAGAACTGACTCCCAAAAGATGCCTCCTGACTGCCACATGTGTACTATGGTATGCCCCTTTACACACAGACATATGTGCACACACACACACCACATGCTCATATGCACACACACAATAAATAAATAGATGGAAAAAACTTAAAAGAAAAATTCGTTGCTCATTTGTAGTATATATTCAACCTGAGTTGACAAAGAGCCTCTCTGATCATCAATTACTTTATGGAGCAAGGAGTATATATCTTCATAAAGGATATGGTTGGGGAACGTGAGTGTTGAGAAGGAAGTGGTTGATATCATTTGTATTTGGACTTTGATGGTTGAAGTAGTTTGCGTGGACATGTGGTCTTATGCCACCCCTCACAAAACGTGCCATTATTCACAGAATATTTGTGAATAGTCATAGTAACAACTCTTTGTCTTGTGTAGCTCTGTCCTACACAGTTCTAAGAAAGTAAGAAGGATTATATTGCTAAGTGACTCAAAGGCACTAGACTCTAACTCAGCTTCTTCAGTGTTCATCTAAGCAGGGAAGGAGGACAACTCAAATACATCCTTCTGCACTGTTATGGCAGATTTTCAGTAATCTGTTATGGAATTAATTCAATAACTTAGAACAGCTGTTTTACTTAGGATATAAAAATAAACTATGGGAAATGGTCTTAACAAAATTATTGTCTCTAATTTTGCTTTGAGTTGAAAATATTTTAAATACAAATAAAATTATTATTAGGACTAATACGTTAGGTTTTTGGAACAATTTTTCAGCTTTTTATTCTTATTATACTGGCAAAAGCATTTCTTCTTAAACATTTGGGTCAAAGATATTGAACATAATTTTTCACAGAAATATCACTGGCCTGCTCGCTACCATAGAGTATGCACCATTTTCAACCAGTGTACAGAACATTTCTTGAGTG